TTTTAAAAGGCCAAGTATAGTCAGATTTTAGTCTTTGTAGGCAAATAGTGTCTATTGTACCTACTCAACTCCACAGGATGAAGAAGCAGTCATAGACAATACTAAAGGTATGAGTGTGGTTTGTTCCAATAAAACTACAAAAACAGGTGAAAAGCTAGATTTGGCCTCCAGGCCAGTAGTATACTCAACCTCTGGTTGAGAAGATAGTTGAAGGAATGTAGTAATACATAAGATGCATAATAATCTATATTAGCCTAAACATATTCATTTAAAGCAGTATTTTGTATATTCAGTTTTTTACTCACAATAATAAAATGTTTCTTACAAAATTTTCATGATTTTTATATTCTTAGAGAAACTGAGGAGACACTGTAACCTGCCCCCTAGAGTTCATTATTATTAACAAAATCCCACGTCTTTAAATCTATGTGACAAATGGTTGATGAGCAGAATTACAGAAGTATGAGAAAGTGAAGATAATAAAAATGTTAGATGTGCCATGCTGCTAGGGGGTGCTGAATCGGAAGAAGTATTCCTTGGGATTTTTTTTTTTTTTTTTTTTTGCTTGCTTTAAAATGGCTACAATGGTAGTATGCCCTGTCTCCCTTCTCTTCTCCTGAGTGTAGATCTTTGTGCACAGCAGGGCTATAATATAACAACTTTGCAGAGTAGATGATATAAGGCAAACAAACAGTACAAACATTTTGGAAGATGGGGGTGGAAACCTGGGTGTAGGACAGCTGAATGTACAACAATGGTTACTGACTATCCTATTTTTCTGCCCAGTAATATGTTTAGTGGAGGTTTGTGGCACTTGTGCCATTGCTCTCTTTGGTATTTTTATTTTTTTTATTTTTTTTAAGGATTTTATTTATTTATTAATGAGAGACACACACAGAGAGAGAGAGGCAGAGACACAGGCAGAGCGAGAAGCAGGCTCCATGCAGGGAGCCTGATGTGGGAATCGATCCCGGGACTCCAGAATCAGGCCCTGGGCCAAAGGCAGGCGCTCAATCACTGAGCCACCCAGGGATCCCCTCTCTTTGGTATTATGAACAACCTCACCACATCTAGATAGCATTTATTGCAGCTCAGTATAAAATCGGTCTCCTTTATGTGGCACTAAATATGCCAGGCTACCAAATACCAAATCACTATGGTGAGAGCCATGCTGTCGAACACAGAAGCCGTTATTGGCCTGGGGGTTATTAATAACTCAAAATATGACTAATCACAATTAAAATGGGCAATAAAGGTAAAATACATTCTGAAATTTGAAGACTTAGTACCCCCAAAAAAGGATTTAAAATATTTACATATTGAAAAGTTTAAAAAAAATTTTTTTAAGATTTTATTTATTTATTCATGAGAGACACACAGAGAGAGAGAGAGGCAGAGACACAGGCAGAGGGAGAAGCAAGCTCCATGCAGGGAGCCCGACGTGGGACTCAATCCAGGACCACGCCTCGGGCGGAAGGCAGGCGCTAAATAAACCGCTGAGCCACCCAGGGATTCCCCGAAAAGTTTAAAAATGAATACATATTGAAATAAAGCATTTGGAGATATATTGGGTTAAATAGAAAATGTATAAATGTTAACTGATATATAAAATTGGTGTTTCTTTTTAGAATTTGTTGAATGCAGCCACTAGAAAATTTAAAATTTTATTTGTGGTTGGCATTCTATTTCTGTTAGTACTGGGTTAGAGACTAGTTAATGTAAGATACCTAAATTTGTAATATTTTTCCTTCTTTTTTAAAATTTATTTTTATTTTATTTTATTTATTTATTCATGAAAGACATACAGAGAGGCAGAGACACAGGCAGAGGGAGAAGCAGGCTCCATGCAGGGAGCCCCATGTGGGACCCGATCCCAGGACCCCAGGATCACATGCTGAGCCGAAGGCAGACACCCAACTGCTGAGCCACCCAGGAGTCCCCTCTTCCTTTTTTTTTTTTTTTTTTTTTTTTTTTTTTAAGATTTCATTTATTTGAGAGAGAGAATGCACATCAGTGGGGAAAGGGGCAGAATGAGAAGCAGACTTCTACTGAGCACTGAGCCCAACGCAGAGTTCTATCCCAGGACCCTGAGACTATGACCCAAGCTGAAGGCAGACGCTTAACCTACTGAGCCACGCAGGCGCCCCTGAAGTATATTTTTCTTAAACAGTATTAAATATAGTTTAAATTATTAGGAGTATAACTCACATACATCATGTGCTGATTATGTGTTGGCTTATTAAGCTAAGTCTTCCAGATATGTTTGTCCCAATAGAAAAAAGTGTAAAACTTTTATAAAGCTTTCTAAGTGAACTGCAGTTTTAGGCAATAAAACTTAAGACCTCTTTGATGATCCATCCTTCCATTCATTTTATTCTGCACCATTGATAACCAGTTATTGGGTATATCTGTAGTGGATCTCTTAGCTAATAAATTGTTTATCTGACATATATTTTCTTGCTTATGAGAACCAGATCACATTCATCTTTTTTTCTCTCTGGCATTTCTTTCTTCAACCGTACTTTTCCTTTATAACCTAACTCTTTTAACACCACTTCTCCAAATAACTATTAAGAGTATTTCTTTTTTTTTTTTTAAATTTTTATCTTTTTTTTATTTATTTATTATTTATTTATGATAGTCACACAGAGAGAGAGAGAGGCAGAGACACAGGCAGAGGGAGAAGCAGGCTCCATGCACCGGGAGCCCGACGTGGGATTCGATCCCGGGTCTCCAGGATCGCGCCCTGGGCCAAAGGCAGGCGCCAAACCGCTGCGCCACCCAGGGATCCCTATTAAGAGTATTTCTTGATCATTTTTGCTTATCTCTCCTTCCCTTACTCTGAACATCCAAAGGATATCTGCTTGTCTTTTAATCACTTTGTGATTTTAATTTTAATGATATACATCCATTATCTCCCTTACTAACAGGTAAATACTTCCAAAAGGATCATCTTTGTACTGAATTAAAAGTCATGTAACTTGGCATATGCATCTTGATCTCATTCATGTTAGGGTATGATTATTTTCTTTTTATTTCCATAGATTTCATTTTTGTTGTTGTTCATACTGCAGATGAATATACAAATGAAACTATGTTAATGGAATTACCCCAAATCTTTGGAGATCAGACTACAACAGGGATAACCTATATAGATAGACTAACCAGGAAGTAAACATATAGTCTTAATACTTTTTAGAATAAGAGAAGGAAAAGGGGATTTCAGGAAGGAGAAAAAGTTAGACAATAGTGAATTGTATCAGTCACATATAATTATTGAAAAGTACACCAAAGGGGCACCTGGGTGGCTCAGTGGTTGAGCATCTGCCTTTGGCCTAGGTCATGATCCTGGAGTCCTGGGAGTGAGTTCCTCATTGGGCCCTATGCAAGGAACCTGATTCTCCCTCTGCCTATATCTCTTTCTCTCTGTGTCGCTCATGAATAAATAAATAAAATCTTTTTAAAAGAAAGAAAGAAAGAAAGAAAGAAAGAAAGAAAGAAAGAAAGAAAGAAAGAAAGAAAGAAAGAAAGAAGAAAGGAAAGAAAGAAAGGAAAGAAAGAAAGAAAGGAAAGAAAGGAAGGAAGGAAAGAAAGAAAGAAAGAAAGAAAGAAAGAAAGAAAGAAAGAAAGAAAGAAAGAAAGAAAGAAAGGAAGGAAGAAGAAAAATACACCCAAAGTATAGAGGAAGGAAAGACATTTACCCAAATCTTACTACTTAGAAGCAACTGTTACTACCCTTTTTGTGTATGTCTGACCTTTTCTAAAATGTGTTGATTGGGGGCACCTGGGTGGCTTAGTGGCTGAGTAGTCTGCCTTTGGCTCAGGTCATGATCCCAGGGTCCTAAGATCAAGTCCCTCATGGGGGTCCCCACAGGGGAGCCTGCTTCTCCCTCTGCTATGTCTCTGCCTCTCTCTCTGTCTCTCTCTCTTGAATAAATAAAATCTTTTAAAAATAAATAAATAAAATGTGTTAATTGTAAAAACAACGCAAGTACATGCTCATTATACAAATTCAAACAATATAGACATATTTAGAATAACAAATTTTCCTTTTCCTTTGCAGTCCTTCCTTTTCTCTATAGGGAAAATCTGTTTATAGTATTTGTATAAGTACATATTTTTGTTATTCTAATTAATGAATATAGGATTGTATTATTTGGTGATTTGAGTTTTTTTCTACTTAACATGCCTTAGCAATCTTTCCATATTATGGCTCTCTTGCATTTTAAAAGTGACTATAGAATTTTTGAAAAGAAATAAATGCTCATATTAAGAGATTGCCACAGTGCAGAAGAGGTCCCCCAGGCCCATCCCTACTCTGTAACTGTTGCCTTGATTTTTGGATAACATTGTAGAAACAGTTTATGCTGCTTTAGATTATCTTTCTTTTACTGCCTTCCCTCCTTTTTCTTTCTTCTTTCAAGTGGGACCATATTACATATATTGCTTTGCTAAGTTTTTAGTTTCAAAAATATAGGAGGAAATCAAACTAAAAAGTTTTTTTCCATAAGTATAAGAACTCTCCTCATACTGTTAATGACTAGGACTTTTCATTATGAAGTACTATAATTTACTTAACCTTTCTTGTTAGATGCTTAGATTTGCCAGTTTTTCACTATTATGTTAAAGCTTTTTAAAGTTCATAGTTAAGTGCTTAAATTGTCCCTAGCATTTTGGTTGCTTTGGAACAAAAAGCTTTAAAATTAGAAGAAAAAAGAAAAATTGGGTTTATTTTCAGTTTCAGTCTCAATTTCAAAAGTGATGGAAATCAAAGCCCAATTTTAGATGAATGTACCATTAAATTGCAAAATATAAATGTCTAGTTTAAATATACTTTTTCTTAGATTTGTGTTAATATATAAGTTGACCAGTTAGTAAACCCTTGTTCTATAATTCTATGTAAAATTTTGCAATGAAGGCACAATCCTTTATCAGCTTTTAATGTAAAATTTGTGAAATGATGGGTAATGAATGGATTTTTGTTTTTGTTTTTTAATCAGTGATTTTTTTGAACGAACCATTCTGTGCAACAGTCTTGTGTGGAGTTGTGCTGTGACGGGTAAACCTGGACTGACCTATCAGGAAGCACTTGAGTCAGAAAAAAAAGCAAGACAGAATCTTCAGAGTTTTCCAGAACCACTAATTATTCCAGTTTTATACTTGACCAACCTTACCCATCGTTCACGCTTGCATGAAATATGTGATGATATTTTTGCATATGTCAAGGATCGATACTTTGTTGAAGAAACTGTGGAAGTCATTAGGAACAATGGTGCAAGGTAAAGTACTTTTAATTTTTTCTTTTGTTACACATGCATTCACATTACTCAAAATTCAAAGTCCACAAAAAGGTGAACTGAGGAAAATTTCCCTTCTGTCCTCCCACTGCTTTGTTACCCTCCCCACAGATAGCCCTAATGTTAATATATTTTTCCAAAGCTAATTTCTCTCCAGACTACCAAAAGATGTATGTATAAGCATAGATATTTGTACACATATGTGCATGGGCCCACACAGAGTCTCCTGTCCCTTTTAATGCAAAAGGTAACATATTTGATACCTTTCTCATTTAAAATGTCTTGAAGGTCAGTCCATTGCTTTATAAACTACCTTTCTTCTCTTTTTTGTTTATTGTATAATATGTCCCCTTGTGTAGAAGTTCCATCTTTACTTCCAAGTAAAAAAAAAAAAAAACCTTAAAGATACCTATTTTGTCCTTATTATGTTATCTAATAGTATAAAAGTATAAATATGCCTATGTTTCTTGCTGGGTTTTAGTAATTCCTCTGATAATATAAAGACTGAGTTTTATGTACTCTATTGAGTTCCCTTTTACCCAGCTCTTTAAGAAAAATGAATTTTTCATATACAAAAATTTTAAATGACATTATCTCTGGCACTAAATTAAAAATTATTACTGCTTTCCTGAAGTTTAAGCATTTGTGATTGGCTAGTCACTAGTATTTATCATAATAATCCTTATTTGCATTAAAACTTTTTATAGCCTCTTGGAATAATACAGTATGTAGTGTTCTATGTCTCATTTCCTTCACTTACTATAATGTTTTCAAGGTTCATCCACATTATAGCATGTATCAATATTTATTTTTTTTTTGATAAATTCTACTGTATGGATCTAGCACATTTTGTGACAGACATTTAGGTTGTCCCCACTCTTAAAGATCTCCAAACTTTCAGAGCAACTGCATCATTTTACATTCCTCCTAGCAGTGTATGAGAGTTGCAGTTTCTCCACATCCTTACCAAGTCATATCTATGGACAACTTGTTGTCCATCTTTTTTATTTTGCCATCCTAGTGGGTGTGGAATGGTATGTTGTGGTAATTTTGATTTGCATTTCCCAAATGACTATGTCAAGCATCCCTTCATGTGCTTACTGATCCTTTATATATCTTCTTTGGAGAAATGTTTGTTCTGGTCCTTTGCCCATTCTTAAATTGGGTTATTTATCTTTTTTATTACTGAGATGTAAAAGTTCTTTGTGTTTTTGGATACAGTCCCTGATAAGATTTGCAAATATTTGTTTTTTATGAGTTGTCTTTGTCTTCTCACTTTCTTGATGGTACCATTTGAGGTATCATCTCCCTTTGCTTTTAACTTTTGTTTCTACTTGTTAATAGCATATACCTTTTGTTTCTGTCTCTGGTAGTATTTACCAGTGGTCCTAAAGACTTCTTCATCCACCAGAATTAGATTTACTGGAAAGAGCATGCTAAATTACACGGAAATGGGATAGAGGCTATTTGTTGGTTGAATTAGTCAGTATAGGTACTCTGGATCTTTTCACCTCAATATTCTTTTCTTATTATCTCATTTACCTTTAGGTATCCCTCCTCTCTTGTTGCATTTTATAAGTATAGATTAGGTGCTTCCCTTCTTACCAAGACTTCTGTTTTGAAAAAAGCAATCAGCTAATGGATTCTTCTAGAAGATCCTTTGTCATTGCTTTGGTAGAATAATAAAGACAACACCTGACTACTTCACTGAAGCAACAGTTCAACTCTTTATCCTCCCTATCCTGATTAACCCAGTTTGCCTACCAGTTATGCAGACATTTGTTCTCTATTACTTCCTTAGAGCCTATAGAAGAAGTGAGAGAATTTGTGGTCTTCCATAAAGAACACTTAACTAGGATTATATTATATTATATCAGATATGACCTCATTGTTTCCATTTACAGATGAGTAAACAGAGGTCCAAAGAAGTCAAGTAATTTTTTCATGATATCTATCATATATTACTGATCTCCTGCTGTTTACTTGGACTGCTCTAGACACTAGAGATATAGCAGTGAATAAAATGAAGTCATGGAGCTTCCATTTCAGTCTTATAAGTAGTAAGTGGTAGGATTTAAATTCAGGTAGAGCAGACTTACAAAAGTATTTCTAAAAACAAAACAAAACAAAAGTATTTCTTTCCCTGTATCATTGCCTCCTTAGTTTTGGATTCTGCCATTTATTTGCTCTGAGCAAGTATTTTAAACTCTTTAAGCTTTAGTCTTTTTTCAGCTGTTAAATGTTAAATGTTGTCTTACAAGATGAAATGATATAACGAATGTGAATTTTTTAAGCTGTATTCTATAATATTGCCATTTGATATAGGTGCCTTGTTAGTATTTGAATGTTTGTATTGGGGGACATGCAGTTTGGCAGGATTTTTTTTTTTTTTTTGGTTTTTCAGAGATATCACTAAATGTAGGACTGCAATAACTGCATGGGCCACTGAAACTAGGAATTAGGTTTTTCTGTTGTAGCTCTGAAAGGAAACCCCACAGTTAACAATTTCACTAAGAAAGACAGTCATTTTTGAAGATAATCATCCTACTTTTGTACATGGTTTTCTGAAAAATGCTGCACAAGCAGTTTTAAGGCATTTGAGTTTCAGTTAACTTTATCTTCTTTTTAACAGCCTGATTATCATTGTTCACTGAAGGGTTGAGAGTATGGTGACCTAGAACTCAAAAGCTTACATGATAAACCCATCTTCTCCACTGCTGCCCCTCTCCCCACCCCGCCCCGCCCAGAATTGGATCATTAAATCAGGAAAAAAGAAGGTGGAAATCACACAAGAACACATTTGGGATTGTTGAATCATCTCTCAGTAGTTGAAGGATGGGGCTAGAGTTTGAGAGAATCTGAAAAATTGAATCAATAGAATTGTGTATTTGGTAATTTTTAAAAATTAAAGTGGGTTTGGGCAACTTGTTTTCAGACATTTCAGGCATAGTCAAGATATTCTTGGAGTTCATAGGAGATTTGAAGCAACAAACATGAAGAGATACCTCTAAAAAAGTAGATATACTGACAGCGAGAAGTGGCACTTTCTTTCCTAAGAAGGAGATGGAATAAACATTAACTACTGGTTAATGGTTAAGTATACTGGCCTGGCTTAGTATATAATTTGGTAGCATTAGAAGACATTGCAGATTTGAAAGTATACTCGCATTTATTGAACGTTTCCTGTATGCTTAGGCACTGTGCTAGATGCTTTCATTTTAATTTTCGTGATATTGATAGGTGACACAGAATTTTCTAAAAGTTGTATGCTCCTTGGTATTTACTCACAGAAGTTAAAAACTTAATGTCCACACAAAGACCTGCAGATGAATGTGTGTAGCAGCTTTATTTAATAACTTCCAAAATTTGGAAGCAACCAAAATGTCCTTTGCTAGGTGAATGGATAAATAAACCCGGTACATCCATGCAAAGGAATATTATTCATTGCTAAAAAGAAATCAGCTATCAAGCCATGAAAAGACATGAGGAACCTTAAATGAATATTACCATGTGTTAGAAACCAATCTGAAAAGAGTACATATGTATGATTCTAATTGTAAAAGGCAAAACTATGGAGACAGTAAAAAAGATCAGTGGTTGCCAGTAGTTGAGGTGGAGTTGGGGAGAGGTGAATAGATGGAGCACGGCAGATGTTTAAGGCAGTGAAAATACTCTGTGTACTGTAATGATGGATACATGTCATTACATTTGTCCAAACCCATGGTGAAACACACCAAGAGTGAATTGTCATGTAAGCTATGGATACTGAGTAATGATGATGTGTCAGTGTAGATTGATCATTTGTAACAAATGTACCTCCAGTGAAGGGGATATTGGTAATTGGAGAGGCTGTGAATGTGGGGCAGCAAAGGGCATATGGGAGATCTCTAGATCTTCCTCTCAATTTTGCTATGAATCTTAAAACTGTTTTTAAAAACTGAAGACTTTATATTAACAATATAAGTTATGTGCTCTGCTTATTAAGACTGATGTTTATAATTTTTTAAAATCTGGGTTTTTTAAAAATAAAGATTCATATACATTAAATTATGAAAGGTGAAGGCCTAGAGTGCATTTCCCAAACGCTCCTTTCAGAGATAATCATTGTAAAAAAAAATTAGTGCACTGAAAAAAAAATTAGTACATAGGTTTTTTTTTTTCTATACTGCACTAAATTTTTAAAAAATAACATCTTTTTCACTTAGTAGTGGTTTGGAGATCTTCATATATCAAAACACATAGATGTACATTTCTATTTGGTTTTGCATAAACTGATTAAACTATTGGTTCCTAAAAAGCTTACTTACTTTTTCTGAGGCTGGAGAAAGTTACTCCTTTTGCTAGCTTTATGTGAATTTTCCCTTTGAAAATAATAAACTGCATTTTTTTTCCCAAATAATCTCTGACCTGGGCACCTGGGTGTCTCAGTTGGTTAAGCATCTGTCTTGGCTCAGGTCAAGATCCCAGAGTCCTGGGATGAGCTCCTTAGCTGGCTCCCTGCTCAGCAGGAAGTCTGCTTCTCCTTCTTCCTTTGCCCCTCCCCCTTTTCCGCCCCTCCCAAATAAATAAAAAATCTTTAAAAAAATAATAATAATCTCTGACTCCTGACTGACAGACCTTTTCTCCAATGTAGGTTAAATCAGTAAAATAGCAGAATTGGATTTACACCAAAGAATTTCATTTATGGCCAGATTTTCCCAAATATTATCCCCATACTACTTAGATTTAAAATTTACAAAGTGTTGGAGCACCTGGGTGGCTCAGTTGGTAAAGCATCTGATTTCAGATCAGGTCATGATCCCAGGGTCGGGCTCCCAGCTTAATGGGGAGTCTGCTTCTCTCTTTCCCTCCCTCTGCTCATGCTTACTCACTCCTCATTCGTTCTCTCTCTCTCTCAAATCCTTAAATTTTTTTTTTAATTTACAAAGTGTTACCTAATAAAAGTATATGACATACAGCTTTCTAGGTTTCACTGATAGAAT